ATCTCTGAGGAGAGCCACCATCCACAGCTGTGAGCAATAATTTCATTTCTTGCTGTTCTTCACGATCTAATTCTCTATCTAAAATGATCTCACTGTATTTTGTACCAACAGAATTGGTTAGTACATTTAAAGCAAAGTAATTATTTTTTTGTAAAATATAATTTTGCACAGCGTTTTGTGCTATGTCTGCATCGCGTGCCGCATTTATTCTGTAGCGAGAGCCTTTGGGAGCCGATTCACTTATTTCCAGTTTAACGGCATCCTTAACAAAAACAGGAGGGTTGTCATTTACATCTTGAATTTGCAAAGATATCCGGTGTGATTCGAGTGGATCCTCAAGTACCAATTCACATTTCAAAATACACGAAAGCTTTGCTCCACAAAGCTCCTCTCGGTCAATCCGATCAGCAACAACCAGTTCTCCGGTATCAACCTTTATATCACAATAACGTTTACGGTTTCCTTCGAGGACAATTCGAGCCTTCCGAGGTGGAAGTCTGCTTACTTGAAGCCCAAGATCTTTGGCTATATTTCCAATCACTGATCCGCGTTTCATCTCCTCCGGAAAAGAATAGCTCACATCGCCATAAGACAGCCGAAACACGAAGAGAAAAACAAGTGAGCCGCAGAAAAGGTTCACTTGGAATCCGTTATATGCCATCTTCAGCCGAACAAAATGAATAAAAAATAACAATTCCGTGATCAGTATTCCTCAGAAACACACAAGAATGTGTACATCTGTGACTGAAGACAAATAGTGTAATGGCAAACAATGAGCAGGAGAAGTGTGGGTGGAGACGCCTGACGATTTCATATGCAGCCTATTCTACTTTTCGATTGGTAGACAGCGACACTTACAGCATGTCCGAAAGATTACAAAAGACAGCAGTCTGTATGTTGTTAATACAGTTCTTGCAACTTAATTCATCTGAAGACACCCCAGGTAGACACACAGACACACGGATGGATACAAGGGAGGGAGGAAATATACTGTGGGGTAGCAAAACTACACTAACCCCTTTCATGTAAGGCAATGCAATACAAAAGTCCTTTCAGAAATACTACACTTAAATCAGAATAGAGTTGAATCAACATGTCTCTGGTTACGACTATCAGACCTGATTGCAATGCAAGACGATTACTTTTTTCCGAGTCACTGTGCGTAGTAATGCATAATGCTGTCTTAAATGTGCCACAATATCTGCTTAGCTAACTGAAACAAGAAAAACAATCCAACTGGCAAAAAAACAACGTACAAAAATGAACGTTTACAAGTATTTTCTGTACTTAAACAATCAAACTCTGGTTCATTAACAGTCTGATTTCAAAGAGGGCTACATTTCGGGATTATTTGTTGTGTTCAGAACCACGAACAGCGACGAATCACAGAATTAAACTGTCTTCAAAAAATTGTTTGCTTTATTTCTGTAGTGGTTTGGACTACAATAGTATCAGATAATCCTATAATTTCCCTAAAATTAATAACAAAGTACGAAATAATTATGCTGTTTTTCGTTAATGAATAATTAGTGATGATTTTGGAAAATAGTGATTTTGATTGAGACAAAAACATACCACAAATATATTGTATATATGTCACAATGATTCAAATCCATGTATTAAAACTATTTTTATGTGAAGCCTACCTCCAGTGAATCCAGCGAATCCCCAAAAGCATCAACAAAGTCACTTGGACTTTTCCTCAGAGTCTGGTCAGCAGGCAGTGTGTTGTCATTGTAAGATGT